CTTACATATGGCAATTATTCAATGCCTTGCAACACATACAGACAATAAAAACTTAAAATCAATTGAGTTAAAATTAATAGAAGTAAAGCATTTAAACAATTACATTCAGTATTAAAATCATGCCATCCAAAGAATGTTGTCCAAGGCCAATTCCATAGTCATTGCAGATAATCCAATCTATATTGCATGACACTAATCTTATGAAGAAAGTGGGACCAGAGCAGGACCTCCCCAGATGATCTTGATCTCCAAAGTGGTTCATTGAGAAGGATACATTCGGACACAGGCCCGTAGCCAGGATTTTGTTTCGGGGGGGGGGGGGCTGAATTTTTTTCAGGGGGGTTTCGGGGGGGGCTGAGTCTGAGTGAAAGAGGGTCTACCTAGCAAACCTTTTGTATCATTACCCCAATACCCCCATGCATATGGGATATATTGTGAGTATGGTGATCAGATCATGATATGAATAAACATAACAGTTTAAATAATGCCAGTAAGGCCTTCTCGGACCACCATGAGAATTTCGGGGGCGGGGTGAAGCCCCCCAAGGCCCCCCCCCCGGCTACATGCCTGCAGACAGGTAAGCTGGGTCGGAACTGTATAGGGCTTTGTAGACTAAATCCAGCACTTTGAATTATGCTCAGAAGCAGACTGGCAGCCAGTAGATCTGGCGCAGCAGGAGAGTTGTGTACTCCCTGTATGCCACTCCGGTGAGCAAACTTACTACCATCCGTTGGACCAGTTGAAGCTTCTGAGTAGACTTCAAAGGCGGCCCGATGTAGAGTGCATTGCAGTAATCTATATGGGATGTTACAAGAGTGTGGACCACTGTGGCCAAGTCCTACTTCCCAAGGACATGGGCACAACTGGCACACAAGCTTTAATTGTGCAAAGGTTTTTAGCATCAATCTGTTAGCACTACACAATATACTGAGCAGAATATACAGAATATTGCTGATAGAATTCAAACAAAATTTGTAGCAATACAGAACAGCTTTAAAAAGTGCATTAGCATTTATTCCACATATGCCTATGGTAAAACTTGAAAGAGCTTTGGACTGCTCCTTCTATGTACCTGCCCTGGACTGGACTGAGTTCTGATGGAGGGATCTTCCTCTGTCCCAATAGTGAGCATTAGTGAAGGTAATTCAGCTATGGTACTTCTCACATCAAAATAGTATTTCCTGTCAGAATCCTTGCGGTCTAGTGATTTTGCCCAAATCTTTTCTGTTTAATGCTTTAATTGTCATATGGTTCATTATATTTTTATTGTTTTATTGACATCCTGTGACATGTGATATATATATTTTTATATATATATATATATATTTCAATCCTCTTTTCCCTTTGTTCTTAAATGACCGCATCCATATTGTTGTAAATAATCAAATATAGAAAGCTCTGTTGTGTTGATAATATTAGTCAGTTAACTTAAACCACTTATTATGTATTAATATGCTATGCTGAGATGCCTAAATAATATGACACAGTTAGACGTAATGCCATAGGCCAGATAATCCCCTCCACTGCAGGTTTCCAGGGCCAACCAAAGTTTTTGTACAACTTGACAATGAATGATTAAATAAATGCTCTGAATTATGTCACTATCAACTTCAGAGTTTTTCTTAATATACTTGTACAAATGTGATATGAAGTCATCAGTTTGATTTTTGTCAAGGCTGTACTTTTCATCTCGTACTTACCCAATGATGGAAGGGAACTGATAGCTTGAAAAAGAACCATATACATTTTTGTGAAGAGGTATCAATAAACATTAGGAGACAAGTGTTGTCTAACTGATAGAGAGCAGATATCAAATTGGTAAGTGTTTTAATACTGAGCTGGGGAATAAAATCAGCAAAGTATTAATGAAACTAAGCATTCTAATTCTAATGTGAGTTATCTATGAAACTGATCATATAACTAAATAGCCGCAGGACACATATGATGTCTTGTTATATTTGTTTTATTCACAATTATTCAAGCGGAATACATTGAAAGTAAATAGATGTTCAGGAGGCATCAAATTTGTTAACTGCTCTTCAGATTTCCAGAGAGCTTCTTTGCCTCAAGGTTCTTCAGCATCTGCCAACTCAAGAGTTCTCTATGCCTCTACCTTCTTCTCATTCAGAATTGCCACAGGCAAAATGCATATGTGCCCATTTTTAAAGGATCGTTGAATTAATTTTATTAAGAGTCTATGTCCACTCATTCGTGGTGTTCAATGCAGTTTAAACTCACAAGACAATATTTTCATCTGTATTGGCAGATAAATGTAGGATTTTCCTACTGGTGGTGTTCGTTTCCCCCCATATGCACACATTTCTTGCAGATCATGTGCTGTGGGAAAATGGAATCAAATTAGTGATGACACTGCTTTTTAATTTTCACATATTTTTTTAAAAGTGCAGGCAACCTTGAAGCTATTCATTAAGAGATAATACAATTTCAAAGGCAATTTATTTCTCTTAACATTTCTATAAATGCTATAGTTGCTAAAGTACTAGTATGTGCTGTTTACTGGGGATCAAGCTATGCGTGAGATGAGAATTCTATGAGTGAACTTCCAGTGTCAGAACTTCAAAAATTGCTTTGTGAAAAATGAATATAATGAGATGAAGCTAACCATGGGAAGTGGGTTGGACTATAATTGGGACCTAGAGCATTATCTTACCATTGCTTAGTTATGGATCACAGTATATCATTATATTCATTAGCCATAAGTAATTTTGCAGATAGCTTTTTCCTTATAACATCCAACCATGGGTGCACAGTTTTCTAACAAACTCCTCTAATGAAGTTGCTATTTATTCCCATTGGTAAAATATTATATCATTTGGGGACATTGGCAGGAGAAATAAATACTTTAGGGATGAGTGGTTTGTAATAAAGAAAAGGTGTGGACTCTCTTGACCCAGTTCACCACAGTCCTGGCCCTAACACGTGCTTTTTCTAAATGTAAATGGGACTTCCAGTCACAGAAATCCCTTATCAAATCTCATTGATATTAATGGTAAAGGTGAATGTGAATTTGGAGAGAAAAAACATTTACTAAGTTTCTAGAGGAAATGGCGTCGTGCCCTGTGCATTGCCTAGAATTAGATTTATCAGGCTTTTGTTCCTACGCTACACACATTTTCCCCACTGTTAAAAACCTATATTGTAGTAGCTAAATGATTGTAAGAGATGAATAGATTGCTCTGAATATATCCTTGGAGAAGGCCAGATAGTCATTGCTTTTTGCCCTCAAATTAGATAGAAGGATCCACTTGGCAGATTTTAGGTCCATCAGGTGCTTAAAATATGTGCCTCAAGTGAAAAGGAACATTATAGTTAAATATGTCACGGTGTCTTTATTATTCTCTGTGCATTTGACAGTGGCTGCTGTCAAGGAATAAAAATCAGAGGTAGTGACCAAACAGTGTAGAGTGGAAAAAATAGCTGCTGGATATCTGTGTTGGAAGTACACACCCCACACCATGTAGCTATGGTTTAAAGCAGGTATTTTACATGCTTCCCATGAGATCCTTTATACTGATCAGTAAACATCTGATTCAAATGAGAATTGCATTTGAGAAAAACATGCAGACCTAATTGTCAATTAGTTCTTTCTGTCTTCAATGTTCACAAATCAGATAACAAATAAATATACACTAGATTCTCGCTTATCCAACGTTTTGTATTATCCAACGCAGTCCGCCTCCTGTCCGGAATAATGTCCAGGGTGGGAGAAAGAAAGAGCCCTTGTCTGTTTTAGTGCTAATTTCATGAATACAGTAATTACTACATAATGTTACTGTGTACCGAACTGCTTTTTCAGTTGATTTGTTGTAAAACATGTTTTGGTGCTTATGTCATGTAAAAGCATGACATAATTTGACGTTTAATAGGCTTTTCCTTAATCCCCCCTTATTATCCAACATTTTCACTTATCCAATATTTGCTGGCCCATTTATGTTGGATAAGTGAGATTCTCCTGTATAGCTCTTTAAAGAAAACATAGTCTACTCACTCAATCTTTGACTAATTTGATGGAAGCCTTATGCACTACCTGTAGAAATAAAGCTACAGCTGATAGGGTATGTTTTGCATCAGTTTATATTCCAGGATTTATTTATTTATTTGCCATAAACTTGTAGTCAGTGTACTTCATTGGGACTAACAGTGTTTAGACTATCACAGATAATTTGAAAAGTTTCCTAGATATACACCCTCCACATGCAAGATGCTGCTGGGAGTTTGGAGTGAAATATTTTTGCTCTACTTGGCACTAATCTACTGCACTATTACAGTGACAGCAAAAACAACCTTACTACTGTTGCAGCTAATATTGCTTACCACTGCTGATAATAAAAGTGCATTGATAAAAGTGCCTTGTACTGCCTTTCTCATCTGGCTCTCATTCCAAACTGTCAGGTGAGTGCTGATAATTCATAGCCTCGAATTCTTTTATCTGAGCTGCAGTATCTTTTCCATATACTTTGGCAGTAGAGTTATATAGCTTTTCAAAAATCTTTCAAAGGTGTACCTGGGTTTTCTTGGATCTTGACTAAATGTTGTCAGCAGTAAAGAAAAACTCAAGATGAATGAGTATTGTAGGAAATGTATGTGCCTGTAATGAGCTTTGCTTGTGGTACAGAAATAGTATCTCCCAGCCAATTGGACTGTTTGGTATTTTCGTTATATGCAACTACATATAGATGTTTTCATCTTTTTTTCTTAGTAAAGAAATTCAGGACAGACTCTATAGAAAAGCAGAATATCGTATAGGTTTTTGGAGGCAATTTTATAAGAGCAAAGAACTCGGGCAGATACAGTGGTGGACCATCTTTAAAGGAAACTACATTCAGAACAGCTGCTTTGTTTATTTATCCAGCTATTCCCACACAGGATTGCTTTTTGAAGAAAGAAAGGAACTTTATATTTAAAAAGTTCAAAGATATACCCCATATATATTGCAATAAAGTAACATGAGCTTTGTTCTTGCTTGTTTTTATTTTCAGATTCCAGAGGGGTGACTATCATATTGATGTTTGCATCAATGACTATTTGGATGTATTTTGTCCTCATTATGAGGATTCGGTGCCAGAAGATAAGACTGAACGCTACATTCTTTACATGGTGAACTTTGATGGCTACAGTTCCTGTGATCATACCTCGAAAGGATTCAAGAGGTGGGAATGCAATCGGCCTCACTCGCCAAATGGACCATTGAAGTTCTCAGAAAAATTCCAGCTCTTCACTCCCTTCTCATTAGGATTTGAGTTCAGGCCAGGCCGGGAATATTTCTACATCTGTGAGTATATGGAGATTTATCATGTTGTGTAACACCTGGAGGAAACCATGGTATTTTTTTTCACCTATTCAGAGGGCCAGTTTGCATGTGCGACAGATGTGTTTGAGTATATATTTGTGGATTTTAGCATCCCTAGATAAAATAACTTGGAAACTGGGAATGAAAATGAGATGAATAGCACATTTTTCTTCTCACACAAAACTGCATATCCAGCTGCATTCATATGAAATAAATTAACATTGTTGGAGCTTTCTTTGCTTTTTTTCCTGTTCACATACATTTTTAAAACATTTATGGTATCCAGACTGGAGGAAGGGGAGGAGATGATGGATGTTGCTACTGTGTCATAATTCTTTACACCAAGGATAATATTTGGTGAAGGTGTTGTAATAATATCTTGGAACATGTGATGTTTAGATGTTTGCTTTTATGTGTGTAGACTGCCCTGAGTCCCCTTAGGGAGATAGGGCGGTCTATAAATAAATAAATAAATAATAATAATAATAATAATAATAATAAGAAGAAGAAGAAGAAGAAGAAACACAACAAGATCAGTCAGACAAGATCACTCTGCTGGCTGTTTATTGGATCACACATTTGATACTTCCCAAGTGTCTAGGACTATGTGATGTATCGGCAAATAATGCATGTAGATTCCAGTAAGGTGGCCTTTTGTAGCTGGCAAATATTAATTTTGTCAGCGCTGATTGTGTTTAAGTGCAAGCCAAGGTCTTTAGGCACTGCACCTAATGTGCTGATCACTACTGGGACCACCTTGACTGGCTTGTTCCAGAGTCTTTGCAGTTCGATCTTTAAATCCTCATATTGTGACAGCTTTTCCAGTTGTTTCTCTTCAATCCTGTTGTCACCTGGAATTGCTTTTTAACACAACCATGAGGTCAGGAGTATTGTGCTCCAAAACTCTGTCTGAATTTGGAAGTCCCAGAGTAGCTTGACGTGTTCATTCTCTGTAACTTTTTCCGGCTTCTGATGCCACCAGTTCTTTGTCACAGGCAGATTGTATTTATGGTACAAGTTATTATTATTTCACAGTGCAAGCGATTACAAAGTTTTTGATGAATCTAGTATGTTAAGAAGAAAAGTATGAGCAGTGTACACCTAGCAGTTGCATGGATAAATAGTGGGATGGTTTTGTTACTACTCCCCTTAAATGATTCTACATAGTGGGCCTTTGGTATCCATTAAGGTTTGATTCCAGGACCTCCCATGGATACCAAAATCCATGGATGCCCAAATCCCATTATATACAATGGTGTAATAAAATGGTGTCCTCTATCTTTAATGACAAAATCAAGACTTCCTTTTGGAATTTTTAACATATTTTCAAACTGTGGGTGGATGCAGAATGAGAGGACACAGAGAGCCCACTATACTTTGCATTATTTCTTTTTTGTGAGGTGAGCAGGAGTTAAAGTTAAAAGTATAAGAGTTCACAGCTAAAATGAGAGTAAATAGTATTGCTAATAAAATCTCATTATATTCATTTAAACTATTCTTCACTTTGAGAGTTGCAGAGTGTCTTGGGTTCAGTCCTAATACTCAGTATACTTTCATTTTTTTCAAATTGGCTGCTGGGATGTCCTTGATGCCTTAAAATGGTTATCACTGAGAACATGCTGGAGTATTTGCAGATGCTATATCTTCAAATACTACAGTCTAGCATTATTGAATGTAATAGTGTCTCAGGATAAATGTCAGTTTTCACCAATCCAAGGAGACTTTTTACTCAGAGCAGCTGTTTCTTTGAGCATGGGGGGATACAAAATGCAGTGGGAGCAGGTTTCCAAGCAAACCACTCTAAAGGAATATGTGCACCTGCATTAGTAAATGAACACATCCAATTTCACAATAAAGCACTTCTTTCCAAAGAGATTTGAAGTTATCCTTCCATGCTCTGTAGGTAAAGGAAGTGGAAAAAATGAACTGCAGAATAGCAGCAGCATTATTTTTCCATACAGAAGTATTAGCTGTTTAAAACAGGGGCCCCTTTGATTAATTAAGTTGTGGGCAATTTGGGATCCTACTCCCTTGTTGCAAAACACTATTTAAAATGTGCTGTGTGTTAAGAGAGAGCTTGTTTCTTCTTACCTGGGAAACTAGATATTTAATATTTTAAATACATTTTGGCAGCAGTATTTGCCATGTTCTTAGCTAAAGGAGAGAGCACAGTACATTCAGAAATAGGACATTCAGTCTTCATGCCTGTGGTTGGTATTGCTGTTATTACTGCAAAAAGCTTGTAGCCTCCTTGTTCTTTTACCTGACTGCTTCGGCTTCTTAAAAAGACTAAATAAATAGGGACTCTTTGCCGACATGTATGAACCCATCATCTTCAGAGTAGATAGTGTCTTAACCAGTAGTTTATGTTTGTTTGTGCTCTCTTTACATTCCAAAAAGTAATGAAAATAAGTTTGAACAGTAAGAGATGAAATGCTTCACTGATGCATTCCAGTCTGTCTTGTGAAAGCATGTCATAACTAAACTCTGATGCATATCGTGTGAATAAATATGAAAAGAATGCTAGGAAGGTGGGCATGGTTGTGAAAGGAATTAATTTACATCACATGGTACTGATTGCACTTATGCAAACATCCCCTTTTACTTTGAAGAAGTCTGTCTCAAAGGGATACAAGTGTATTCCACTGCAGTGGGTAACAGGCTATGTATTTACTTAGTGCAAATTTTAATATTGAAAGCCCTTCCTAGCAAGTCAGACAACTAACTAAGCATATTTAAGATGAAGTGTTTCTTCTCACTCCATGTGTTTGCTTTGCACTAAATGGCCCTCCAAGTACCACTCACTGTTATAAATTTATATAAACTTTGCAGTGGTTTTTCAAATTAGGAAAGCTTCGATAAAAGTGCAAGCTGTTTTACTGTAACCAATCTATACACAAGAAAGTAGGATGAGAAATCCCAGGGCTTATTACCTAACAGTTGCTTTTCAAAACATAAAAAGCCATTAAATTTTATAAGCAACCCATTCTATTATTCATGGATTATTATTGTGGTTAAATTCAATATTCTGGTTTTAAAAGCATTGTGGCTTCTGCAGCATTTGTTTAGGGCTTCAATTGTTTATTTAGAGAAAAAGTGGCTCGTAGATTGCACACATCATCTGGTGCTTTTTTGAGATCAGGATGGCTTCTCCATGCTCCCTGTTCTGAAAAAAAATTCAGGTAGAAAACACAATTCTTGTTTCCCCAGGAGACTTCCAGGTGTAATAGCTTTGTGGGCATTTGTTATTATTGTTCAGAGGACCCCCAGAGTTTTAAAAACAAAACTGGGAGTGGAAACAACTTCAAATTTTATCAGCTTTCCAACATTTCCTCAATCTGAGGGAAACCCTGGCATGTTTCCAGGAAAGAAAGAAATGATTGTATCCAGTAAACATCAATAAAATGCCCATGTCACCAAATTTTTCATTGGATAATGTCAGGTTATGGCATGTGCTGGCTATCCCAAAAAGCAAACTGTGTTAAGTCATATTTACTAATGTTTCCCTCTTTGTCCTCCTCTTTCATTCCTATCCTGCTTGGTCCTTGTATCTCTATGACTCACAGAGTCAATTGGTGTCTCTTTCAGTGCTTTGTGTGTGAATATGTTTGTGGGTGTATGTCAAGAAATGCTTCTATGTGTGTTTGAGGGTGGTTCCAGACAGTCCTTTATCCCAGGATCATTCGCGTTTTAAAAACACAGATGTTCCTGGTGGCAGGTCTACACCCACCCCAGAAAGTGCGTGCAGAAGATCTGGGGACCCTCCCCCCTCTCTCCTGACATGCCAGGAGAGCCGGGGGAGGAAAATCGCTCCCCCCACCTGCTCTCCTGGCATGTCATTTCTATGCACCAGGAGAGCTGCTGCAACACTGTATTGGAGGCCGGGTAAGTTTTCATTACTTTTAAAAGGGGGTTGGGGGTTTTGGGGGAGGGGAGTGGGTATTCCCACAGTTTTCTAGAATAATTTAGTGTGGAAAACTGTGGGAATGGTGTCTGGACTACACCTGAAATAGTGGGTTTATCCCGCGTCTTCTATGAAGGCACAGAATAAATCCACTATCTAATTAATTCGCTACAAACCAGGGTTTTCCTAGTTTGTGGCAAATTAATTCAGGATTGTCCAGGATGTCATTGGGACAGCCCTTTCTTTATTGTGGGAGTTACCGCAATAAAGGGGCTGTCTGGATGCGCCCTGAGTTCCCTCTGTTTGTGGTATAGTAACCCAGGGCTAGTAATAATGTGGGGATTTATTTACATATTTTAAACTGGAAATCTAAGATCCACGAACCAGAGACACATGTGTAATATCAGGATTGATTGGAGATCACAGTCCTTAACCTGAAAACCCACTTCTGATATCAGCAAGATTTTTTTTCATAGCATTACATGGGGAGTCATTCTTGAACTTAGAAGTCCTTTTCAATCAAATGTGAATCATGCTGTCTTTCTGTATTGTGGTTAGAAATGAGTACTTTGCATTCTAAACCATGAACTAAATATTCATCTCTGTGTGTATGTGTTTCCTTCTTTGTTTCACAGAAAAAAACTGTGTGCTTGTGCATTTGTGCACAAAGGTCACGTGTGTTCAGGGTTCAGAACAGAGTAGAAAAACCATCATGATTTTACTTAGGCTTTGATACCCCGGAGCAGGTACCCAATCGTTTTTGTTCTATTAGTTTCTCATATGTATCTTTGCATGTTTAGTGACAGGACTGCATCTAGCTCCCTGACCTTCCGTTATCAAAACCTAAAGAGAAAGTAGTAAAATGTTCTCTAGATTGGAGATATTTGACAACAGCAATCAAACTGCATGTGACAAGTCAAAGGACACAGATATGTGTGTTGGATAACTGGAATTCTCTTCCACTTTCATCTTCTCATATCATGTATGTTGTAGAAAAAGTGCTGTTTCCCAGCATCACTCCAGTGTTAGAAGTGAATTAGGGTAAAGTGTGAACCATGCAGGAGGGGAAACGAAGGTG